CACCCCTGTTAAGATGCACGTGTTAGTGTACAAGGTGCTTCAGAAGGTTCTTGGAAAATGTGTAGTATCTTTTAATTCCAACTTCCACAAGCGTTTTGAGGCCCTACTCGGTATCCTGGCTGTCCTCATGAAAAGCAATGGTAAGTTGTCTTTGGGTCACCACATGTGTATGACGTGGGGAAACTAGGAGATAGATTGGAAAAGATAAAAGTAGGATTTTTTTCATAATTTCTCTGTAGCACCCATGGTAACTCCACCCCCTTTACCTGTCAATCTGGTATGTCCACTTTCCCATGATGCACCTGTGTCTCATCCAGGACAAGGAAGGAGGAGACGTCCAGCTTACTATGTGGAGGCACTAGGAAACTCCCAGAAAGCCTCATGCATGCTAAGCTCCACCTCATGTTTATATTCATTCAATTAGGGCACCGCCCCTGATCTCATAAAAGAGGCTGAAAACGCGAGAGGGGCCCTTCTTTATATATATATATATATATATATATATATATATAATATATATTATATATATACTTAAAATTTATTTATTTGAAAGGTAGGGCTACAGAGAGGCAGAGAGAGAGAGAAAGAGAGAGAGAGAGGTCTTCTATCCTCTGGGTCATTCCTCAAATGGTCACAAAGGCTTTTGCTGTGCCTATCTGAAGCCAGGAGCTTCTTCCAAGTCTCTCACATGATCCAGGGGCCCAAAGACTTGGGCCATCTTCTACTGCTTTCCCAGGCCATAACAGAGAGCTGGATTGGACGTGGAGCAGCCAGAGCCCATATTAGATGCTGGCACTGCAGGCGGCGGCTTTACCCGCTACACCACAGTACCAGCCCCCATTGCTTGATTGGTAGCATCCAACAAAGCAGTGCCCATGCCGGCCACATCAGTCAGGGTTTTTGTTCATTTGTTTTTGTTGTGTGTGTGTGTGTGTGTTTGGTTTTTTGTTTTTTGTTTGTTTTTTGATGAATGAACGCTTGTTAGGAGGAAGGGACATTATTTTTAACTATTCATTATGATTCTCAAGCTGAAACGATTCCTAACATGAAGATGTGTGAGCCTGTGGAAACTCCACTGGAGTGCATGTGTTCGTCCCTCTGAAGTTAGCCAGTTCCACCTAGGGGCACAGCCCGCTGGGACGGGTACCATATGCGGGTCTGAAATGATTAAGGCGGGTGCCTGCCCTCCAGAAAGGACAACCTACGGGCCAGCGTTGTGGCTGCCCCCCGTGATGCTAGTATCCCATGTGAGTGCCAGTTCAACTCCCGGCTGCTCCACTTCAGATCCAGCTCCTGCTAATGCTCCTGGAAAAGCAGCAAGAGAAGGCGCCCCTGCCACCCACGTGGGAGACCCGGATGAACTTGGAGGCTCCCACCTCCCGAAAGCTATGGAGTGCACAACCTGTCCGACTGTGCCCAGCAACCCTGGGAGACAGAGATCTCTCTTCCTTTTAGCTGATCGGTACTTCCTGGCAACCCAGAATCACCCAGACATTCATCTGGGCCGTCAGTAGACATCTTTGGATACATTGACTGCAGGTGAGTGAGATGCACACAGAAATGATCCCAGCAGACTTCCTGCCAGCAGGCCGCTTCCAGTGGTGAGAAAGACAAGCAAAGAGGCACGTGTGTGGCTGGACTTCCATGGCAGGTCCTAAGAGAGTTGTGGACGGGCTTCCAGCGCTGTCTGGGGAGCTGGAGGAGATTGGAGTGGATTTTCCTGAAGGGTTGCTTTCTAGGCACAGTCTCCAGGGAAGCGAACATATCACTTCGCTCTCTGTAATCACAGGGTGGCTGGATTTCTCGTCAGGCAGGCTATGTCTCTGCTTCTCTCCTGCGGAGTGCGGAGGAGTTCGCCAGACATGGAAGGGGCGGGATCTGGTGGGCAGAGGGTAAGAGGCACAAGAGCCCAGGCACGGGAGGGCAGGGGGCTGAGTTCAGCTTGCGAATGGCCGAGGGTCAAGGACAGGCAGGGCCCAGGTCCTGCAGGCTTCTGCGAAGTGTCTGGGCTCTGTCCAGGAACTGTCAGGATGATCGCATCGGACGTGACACCTTGACAGCAGGGACTCCATTTTGGAGAACTGGAGACTCCATTCTGGGAAGGTGCCCCCCCCCACCCCTCCACGGTGAGACTCTGGTCTGAAACTATGATCTAAAACAGTCGGACAATAGCAGTCCACTACACCACACTTGGCAGAGCTTGGAAACCCCCCAGCATGATCGCTCAAGCTTGGAAGTGGATAGGCTACACCTGGGTTAATGATAAACTTGTAATTTAACTATGTCCTACATATGATTAAAACCCATACCTGGATTCATGTCAAGTTATAATTGGAATTGTTAAGATTGTGACTGGTATTGTCAAGATTATAATTGATGCTAGTTTCGCATAGGTTTTAGGTCAGTTTGACTCCAGTAACCATGTATTCCCCCTGATCCTAGCAACCCTGAATTCCCCTCCCGATTTTGTGGTTTTTGCCTTTATAAAACCTGTTGCTTTGGGCTTCGGGCTCTAGAGTTCTTTAGGGCATGAGCCTACTCTCCACTGCCAGCAATAAAGGACATCAAATTTTATCAGTGTGTGGTGCTCCTTTGTTTACACTCGCTCAGGTACAACACATCGGAGTATGTAAGTGCACTGGGGGCAGTGTGGAGGACAGACAGGAGCTGTCGGAAGCTAAGAGCAGAGAGAGGAACAGACATAAAGAGAAAGGCAGGGGTGGGAGAAAGTGGACAGGACCCTGCCCTGGCTGCCAGCACGGGCCCTGTAGGCATGGTGGCATCGTTTGCTGAGGTAGGACAGGCAGGGGGAGAGCAGGTGGAGTGGGCCTGGCCCCAGTCGCTGCTGATTCTGCGGGCTTATGCAGGAGAACTTCCTGCTCCCTCCCCTGCAGACCTCACACTGGGCTGCTGAGCTGAGCCACAGCAACAGGATCCTGCCTTTATCTGACATTTTGATCACCATAGATGTTTCGCATTCATTCTGATTTTTTTAAAGTATCTTAATTACTGAGATTTCTTTGCACCCCTCCACACACACACTTACCCCTATCTGGAAACTTCTTGAAGACACAGACTGTGGCTAATTATTTTATATGATCCATAGCACTTACCCCAGGATCTGGCACACTTTAAGTGCACAGTAAGTTTGTTGAATTAATACAAATCCTAACTGTAGAACAAGGCACTTATTTGTTGTGCAAATGAGCTGGGCAGTGTTCCAAGAAGAAGACCATATAGATTAATATCACAGTTTGTCCTCTGAGAAGCTCCTGGACTGGGGTAAGCAGCATGAGGGGAGTGTGGAGACGGAGTTGAGATAGGACATGGGAAGTTCAAGGAACGAGGAACCTGCTTTACCCAGGGCCTCTGAGGAGGAGCCGACTTACCTGAGCACGTGTCCGTTTCTACCACTGGGGTCAGTGAGAGAGGACATTCTGGGTAGACACAGCAGTTTTTTTTTTTCTTAAGTTTTATTTTTATTTATTTGAAAGGCAGAGTCACAGAGAGAGAGGGAGAGACAGTGCTGGTTCACTCCCCAAATGGCATTAATTATCATGACAAAAAAGCTCCCCTCCAGTTTTACTACTCCAACAAAGGAGTACTTTCATAGGCCTTGTTGGAAGGCCTGTGCCCGCCAGTATCTTTGCGGGCAGAGTTCTTGATAAGATTGTAGGGTTGAGCAACTGTGAACTCGCTCACTGGGTGTGTTGCAACGGACACCTGAACTTCTCTTTGCAAGGCCTTTAGCAGATGCAGGCTAACTTTTGCACAGGACCCCCGTGAGGCAGCTGGGGAGAGGTGGCAGTGAGTGCAGCCGGCTGTGTGCGCCTGCGTCATTCTGTCTGAGCACCCTGTCAGCTGTGAAGCACTGTGCCAAACAGACGCGTGGGGGAGAAATAACGGAGAAGGAAGTGCGTTATGCTGGAGTCGTCTGCACGCTTTCCCCTTCACCAAGAGCGCACGTTGCTTATTTGTTTAGTTCAGAGTCTGCTCTCTTGCAGGGTTGTGATATTGGGAACAATGAACAAAAGTGACGGAAATCCCCCATGAAGGAGCTACGTAATAAAGACCTGATATGAAAACAAGGGGCAGGAAATACCGAGAAATGGAGTGATTATCCAGCAAACAACGTCATACTGACACTAATAGTGACTTAGTACTGGCTGATGCTTAGTAATTGGCTTTCTGAAAACAACAAAACCGTGTAACTTGGGGCTGGTGCTGTGGCATAGTGGGTAAAGCTGCCGCCTGCAGTGCCAGCGTCCCATATGGGCGCCAGTTCAAAGCCTGGCTGTTCCACTTCTGATCCAGCTCTCTGCTATGGCCTGGGAAAGCAGTAGAAGATGGCTCAAGTCCTTGGGTCCCTGCACCCATGTGGGAGACCTAGAAGAAGCTCCTGGCTCCTGGTTTCACATCAGCGCCAGCCGTGTGGCCAACTGGGGAGTGAACCCGCGAATGGAAGACCTCTCTCTCTCTCTCTCTCTCTGTCTGTCTCTGCCTCTCCTTCTCTCTCTGTGTAACTCTTAAAATAAATAAATAAATCTTTAAAAAAACCCCATGTAACTTTATTATACATTTAATTGAGAAGCACATTACTTACAAATAATAAAATATGCAATATCATTTATTATGAATTCTATATAGTTCTAATAGTTGATACTTATAGCTCACAGAATACTTTCATTGGTTTTTGCTGAACTCTTGTTTCCATAGCTAATGTATGGTTGCAGCTGACAAATGAATGTAACTCTAACATAAGCATTAGCTAATATTTTCATTTATGTTGATGTGTTAGATGTAAGAAAGTGAAAAGATATGTTGGGATTTTACCCATTTGCCAATGATGTGAGTGATTTTTGCTGAATTGAGTGATTGTTTTTGCATACTAAAAGAATATTTCCTTAGTAGTTGTTGGTGCTTTCACAATGTAATGGTGATAGCATGATAGGCTTTCAAGTTTAATCTATATTATTTGCATTTTCCCCATGACCTTCTAGACAAGTGTGGACAATCAAGAGAATAAGTCTAGTCCTGATTTGGAGTGGTTGCTGATTTACATGGTGTAAATTCTCTTCCTAACTTGACATCACTGGACATGGAGTAGGGAAGGGATGCCCCAACCTCATTGTCTGGTGGAGAAACACTGAAGAGGATAGAGAAAATGGACAGTAAGTGTAATAAAATCATGAGAGAACGGTGGATTTTGAGCACCAATTGAGGTATAATTGACATACGTTAACTTGCTAGTACTTGAAGTGTGTGAGTGGATGGGTTTTGACACACCTGCCAGACCATCACCATAATCAAGTTGACGGACATTTCTGTCACTCTGGAAAATTCCCTCATGTCTCTTTCGCCTCTGCCCCCTTAGGCAGCTACTGACTGCTTTTCATCACAATAGATCAGTTGGCTATGTTATTGTCTTTTTTCTAAAAGATTGATTTGTGGCTGGCGCTGCAGCTCACTAGGCTAATCCTCTGTCTGCGGTGCCGGCACCCCGGGTTCTAGTCCCGGTCGGGGTGCCGGATTCTGTCCTGGTTGCTCCTCTTCCAGGCCAGCTCTCTACTGTGGCCCGGGAGTGCAGTGGAGAATGGCCCAGGTGCTTGGGCCCTCTACCCGCATGGGAGACCAGGAGAAGCACCTGGCTTCTGGCTTCTGGCTTCGGATCAGTGCGGTGTGCCCGCCGCAGTGTGCCGGCCACAGCGGCCCCTGGGGGGTGAACCAATGGCAAAGGAACACCTTTCTCTCTGATCGATTTGTATGAAAGGCAGATTTATAGAGTCAGAGGCAGAGAGAGGTCTTCCATCTGCTGGTTCACTCCCCAGATGGCCGCAATGGCCAGAGCTGCGCTGATCCAGAGCCAGGAGCCAGGAGCTTCTTCCAGGTCTCCCACGTGGCTGCAAGGGCACAAGGACTTGGGCCATCTTCTACTGCTTTCCCAGGCTGTAGCAGAGAGCTGGATCGGAAAGTGGATCAGCCAGGATTCAAAAGAGTGCTCATATGAGATGGCTGCACTGCAGGGGGCGGCTTTACCCACTGTGCCACAGCGCCGGCCCCTGATCAGTTTACTATAAATGGAATCAGGTAATGTGTACTCTTCTGTTGGGCTTCAGCATGATTATTTTGAGTTTCATCCATGATGTTGCATGTGCATTCTTTTTTCTCCTTGAGTATTGTACATTTATTACCTCTGTTTATAATTCATTTCATTGCCAGCTAATATAATTTAATTTTTAATAATGGCTATGTTTAACAACTGGCTGGAACATTTCCTAAAATTTTAACACTTGATGCTTTCAAGCTGGTGTAAGCCAGCTCTGGCATACCTCTGGTGGGTAGAGTACATGGATGCATGTGTGTGTGTGTGTGTGCGCGTGTGTGTATGCATATGTTGAACTTTAGACAGAGGCTGAGAGACTTCAGGATGAAGAGTTTTGGGAATAAAATAAAAAGGAAAAGAGAATTTCTTTTTTTTTTTGACAGGCAGAGTGGACAGTGAGAGAGAGAGAGACAGAGAGAAAGGTCTTCCTTTGCCGTTGGTTCACCCTCCAATGGCCACCACGGCCGGCGCACCGCGCTGATCCGATGGCAGGAGCCAGGTGCTTCTCCTGGTCTCCCATGGGGTGCAGGGCCCAAGCACTTGGGCCATCCTCCACTGCACTCCCTGGCCACAGCAGAGAGCTGGCCTGGAAGAGGGGCAACCGGGACAGAATCCGGCGCCCCGACCAGGACTAGAACCCGGTGTGCCGGCGCCGCAAGGCGGAGGATTAGCCTAGTGAGCCGCGGCGCCAGCCTGGAAAAGAGAATTTCTAAGAAAGTCTTTTGTTCTACTTTTTTTTTTTTCCTGAGAAACTGCTGTAAAATGCTAATTAATAAATTACACTGGTTGCTACATTGTCATGTTAATTAACGCACGACTAAACTTCAGGGCTGCTGGACCTTGGGTGTTTCACGTGAGAGACTCGCTGAAGATTCTAAGCGGTAACTCTCAAAGCCAGCGCCAACTGGCATATTATTTAATGGGGCGACCTGGAGGAAAGGGACTTAGGACTGATGACTGCACATGAGGGGGCTGGAATTTGGCTGCTCAGATCCCAGGACATCATGGCTACTCCTTAATCTCGCCCAGAACTCACCGGATAGAAAGGTAAGTAGGAGAGGACTCGGGCTTCCTTCAGTGCGACTGGTGGGTTGTCGCTAGAAACGTAATTTGAGATGGAATGCTCACTGTGCACTACCCTCGGTAAACCTGAAGACTAGGGGGCTAGGGAGTCGACCCACGCCTCTTCTATGTGGAAGCAAACTACAAAGCTAGTAAGGAGAGCTGCAGTCATGATCAGAGCTATTCACTGAGTGTTTACCACGTGCAAGGTGTGCGCCTGACGATTTCACCATCAGAACAATCGTGAGATGAGTGACGGCAACAAATCCATTTTTCAGGGAAGGTAAGTCCTTTGCCAGGGGTGACACTGGGAAGTAGGGGTGATAGTATTTAAAACCAAGAATCCAAGGCTGTCTGATTCCTCTGGCCCTAACCCCTACCCTGCACAGGCTTGCGTTTTGCTGAACTGTAAGGAACTCAGAAGATAAGGCCCTAAAATAGGAAAAGGGGCCCTTTCCAACTCAGGACAGCGTGTGTGGCTGGAGAATGTGCCTGGAGGTGACACTGCAGCTGGACATCGGAGCCTTGTAAACCTCTTTTTTTTTTTTTTTTTTTTCTTTTTGACTCTTACGATCTCTCCTATGGACAATGGGAGAGCTACTGACAGATTTTAACATAGAGTAGTGGGCTTCAGTGTGCACGTGGAAACCAGGAGTTGCGGAGTAGCTGTGTACGCCGGGATGTAGGCTGTAACACCCAGAACACAGCCCAGGGGTCAACTCCCTTGCGTGCGGTGGTGCAGTGGAGGCCGGAGCTTTGCTTCAGGCTCACTGGGTTCCTGGATCCTTCCATGTTGTTGTCTGCCATGGCCCGAGATGTGGTTCTCCTCAACCTGGCCCAGGTTCTCTTCTGTGTTTCAGCCTGCGTCAAGGGTGACGTAAGAAGTGGAGGGCAGGCAGCTTCGTTGCGAGGATGGCATCAGCTCATGGACATTGGCCACAATCTGGTCCCACAGCCATGGCCATCAGCTAGGGAGCTGAAAGGTCATGAAGAGAGGGGCTGTAGATACTGAGAGACAGCTAGCAATCTGCTGTAGGTGGGAAGGATATGGACTTGGGTCTTTTTTTTTTTTTAAGATTTTATTTATTTATTTGAGAAGTAGAGTTACAGAGAGAAAGAGAGACACAGAGAAAGGTATTCCATCTGCTGGTTCACTCCCCAGATGGCTGCAATGGCCAGAGCTGGGCTGATCCGAAGCCAGGAGCCAGGTGCCAGGTGCTTCTTCTGGGTCTCCATCCTCTGCTGCTTTCCTAGGCACATTTACAGGGAGCTGGATCAGAAGTGGAACAGCCGGGACTCAAATCGGCGCCCATCTAGGATGCCGGCGCTGCAGGCTGAGGTTTAGCCCACTGCACCACTGCGCTGGCCCCTAGACTTGGGTTTTCATAGGATGAAATGATGGCAGCAAAGAGACAGAGAGAGGAGAGGGCAGATGTAAGTTACTGTGAAGTGGATTGAACAAGACTCAGTTCACCTGGATGTGGAGTGGGAGGGAAGAGAAGTGGTGGAGGACCACTCCCTGGCTCTGGCTTTGGGCCACTGAGTGGACTGTAGTGCCACTTGTGTGGTCTGAGGACACAGCAGCTACGGGTTTGGGCTTTATGCTAACTGGCTTGTTCATTTTTTTTTTTTAAAGATTTATTTATTTGAAAGGCAGAGTTACAGAGAGGTAGAGACAGAGAGAGAGGTCTTCTATCCGCTGGTTCACTTCCCAGATGGCTGCAACGGCCGGAGCCGCGCCAATCAGAAGCCAGGAGCCAGGAACTTCTTCTGGGTCTCCCACGCGGGTGGAGGGGCCCAAGGACTTGAGCCATCTTCTACTGCTTTCCCAGGCCACATCAGAGAACTGGAATGGAAGTGGAGCAGCTGGGACTCAAACCGGCGCCCATATGGGATGCCGGCACTGCAGGCGGCAGCTTTTCCTGCTACGCCATGGCGCCGGCCCCTGCTCATTTTGGATGCCTCCAGACATGCTAACAGAGATGTGGAATGCAAATGTGTGCCTGGGGCTCAGAGACAGCCGCAGTAGACAGACTTCAAAAAGTATGTCCGTGGAAAAATGGGATTGCGAGAGAACTTTATTTTGGTGAAAAAACATCTTTTGGAATCCATGCATCCGCTGTTTTTGGAAAGTGCATTTTCCGTGAACTTTCTGAAGACCCCACGCGTGGGCCAAAAACCATCAGTGCTGTGGCAGGTTGGGCTCGTTTGACAGTAGACACTGGGAGGGGTTCAGCCTGCAGCAGCCTTCCTGTACAGTGGCCTTGGGGCCCACGTCTGTCGGAGAGGCGAGAAGGAAGCAGGACTGGGCAGAGGGGGAGGGGGAGCCGAGATGCGGTCCCGTGGGGGCCGTGGCCACGACTACTGACAAAGCGCGGCTCTTCGGAGCTGTCTGGAGCTGGGCGCCAGAACTGGGCCTTCCTCTCCCTGCTGCAGCCAGTGGGGCGACCGCCCCCTTCCAGGGGACGGCTGACTGCTGACCACTTCCTGCCAGCTGTGCTCCCAGCAGGCACGGTAAGAAGTCTTTTATTCTTGTAGGGGGCTCTGGACGGTGCATCGCTGGGTGCATCTCCAAAATACACCCAGGGGGATACCAGCAGTTTAGGAGGGGGAGAATTAAAGGACCCCTGTAGAGACTGAGTGAGAAGCAAGGTCTGGAGAGGTAAAATCTGGACGTGGTCAGACCAAGTCAAGGGAAAAGTGAACGCGGGGCATGTTCACAGTGTCCAGTGCATCAGGCTGGTTGGCAAAGGCAGGGATTTTGTAATCCCAGGGCCCCAGTGACTTTTTCCTGACGAGTGCCGGTGCTGAGCTGCATGGTGAGGAGTGAGGTTGAGGGACGAGGGCAGCGCTTTGTGAACCTCGGGTTGTGATGAGGAGAAAGGCAGGGTAGTTACCGGCTTGACGGAATTCTTTCCTTGGCTTTTAGGGTGAGTGAGGCTGTAATCTGTTTATATGTCAATGGGCAGAACAATAAAGATGGAAAGGTTAAAGATATGGGGAGGAGGATGGGTAGCTGGTGGCAGCAGGGAGCCCGCAGAGCGGAGAGAGGTGGTGGAGCGCTGGTGAGACGATTAGGTTTGAACCAGGAACGAGACCGACTCTGACATTTATTTAGTGCTTTGGAAATGCCAGCGACTGCAGGGTAGTTTGGCTTTGTTTAATCCTTTCTGCAAATCATGCCTGTTATTATTTTCCTGATCAAGTTAGAGAAGGTAAATAACTTGCCCAAGCTCCCAAGAAGCTGTCAAGATTTAAGGGTACCTTCCTGCAGTGTGGAGAGGACACCCCAGCCTCCGAAACTGGAGGAAAAGGGTGACTGAGAACGGACAGACCGGGAGTGGCAGGAAAGCTGTTGTAAATGAGGTATATAAAGCTACAGTGGCTCAGGTAAATGAAAGTTTATCTCCGTGGAACAGTCTTGAGTGGGCTGGTAGCGTGGCTCTCCTCTCCGGGCACAGCCAGGGACCCTGGGTGCTTCTGTATCACCACTCTATCATATTCTGGAATGTCCATGTAGACCTTTTAGAAGATCTTGAAGTTGCACAAATCATGTTTGTCCCCATCCCATTGATCTGAGGGGGTCACATCACAGTTTAGCTGCAAGGGAGGCAGGAAAATGAAGTGTCCCCCCCCCCCCAAGAGGCTGTGTGCCCAGCTAAAACTCGGAGGTTCTACTACTAAAAGGAAAGGCAACATGGATACCATGTGCCTCTTTTGTTAGAATTGCTCTTAGGGAAGTCATGTGGCAAAATGAACAAAGACTTCCTGTCTACTAGATACTGATATGAAAGCTGGTGAAAACAATATTCTGCAACCATTGAAAAAACGTGTCCTGTGGCCAGCAGTGAGTGCTTCTGGCAGACTGAGAAGATGCACTTGGTAGCCTTGTTCCTGTATCTCTCTTCAGGGGCTCACCCAGCATGTTAGCACTTTTGGAAGATGGTGCCGGTGTCAGAGCTGACACATGGCCAGGGTCTTTTGGGAATTGGTCTAGAGTTGGCCATAAAGTCTGCCTGCACTCACAGGACGTGGGAACCAGTAGAGACTCACACAGAAATGGACTGAGTGGCACTGACTGGTAGGAGGAACGGGCCCTTGGCAACTATTCCTAAGCTTTAGCTGTTGACTGCCAGGTGGGAAGGGGTCCAGTGTTCCCAGGAACTTGAAATTTTCAATAGAATCCAGAAGTATGGATTTTTAACATGTAATTTCCTGGTTTTTAAATGTTGGCTCAAATACTGTAATGCCACTCTATGGGCCAAAAAGAACAAGGCTCTGAGCTAGAAACAGGTCTGGTCTCTGACTTAATCCCTCAGCACCTTGTTTCCTC